AAAATTGCGATGCGATAAATTTATTCTTCACTTTTTAGCTAACAATTTGATCGTAACTGTTTGTCCAGTACATAGCAGATGAAGATAGACTTCAATCTAATTGAACTTTCCTGAAATCAAATTAATAAGCGTTAATCCGCCTGCCTTTTCACATTTTTTCAAATTTTGTTTTTTAGCTTTTATTCCATAAACGAGTACAAATCTTTCAAGTTCTCATGAAGCCTAATTAGGAAACACTGAATTACTCCGTTACTGCTAATATCCTTCCAGTGCAATACCCTGTATTACTTAGCCAAGACGAAGTGATAATTACTTTCTATAACTTTCTTCTCATATTTAAGCTATTTTTTAACTTCAGTACCTCTGAGATAAAACAAATTTGTATTAGTAACTCTCTGCTAATCTATTTACAGGTCTCTTGCTAATATAGTGCTCTTCTCAATTAATTTAAATGTGTAATATAATGCATGACAATTTATACTACCGCTATTTTATGTATGATAAATACTCAGTGATAATCGTGATAAATTTTTTCATCTGTTAACTTCATCACTATACTACACTTCACTCAATCATGACTTCAGATTTCTACTTCGTGAAATGAAGATGATGCAACTACATTTTCTTACTTATATTTTGTTACAAGTAAGTCAAGCAAGCATTTACTACACAATTTTACCTAATGGCTTGAATGAGTTTATAAATAATTTTGCTCCAAATTTATTAAAAAATATGAATTCACCTTTTATTGATTATAACTTCTATTATTACCATATTAAATTTCATAAAATCGACATAAAAATAAAGTTATTCATTTTTTTGAGATACTTAAAAAGTTTGTGCAATAATATTTCTTCATATAAATTTTGAAAAAAAAATCGTAATTTTTTTGCCAACCATCGATTTAAATTATTAGAAACAATCACAGAGTAATGACTTTAACTACAGTACAGAAGTTCAGCTATGTCTTGTAATCTATAAGATTTTGTGCAATACTTGCTCTTATCTCTGGCTACGTGAATAATTTTTAGGCATTTACAGTATGCTTTTCATATCCACAACAGTTATCAAGAATGCAGTCAGAAATGTATGTACAATTATAAATTTGATTTAGTCAACAGATTTGAACACTGAATATTTTTTATTCTTCTTATCAATCACTAATCAATTATTTTGTTTCAGATAATTATCACTAAAATCATCCATAATACTTTTACACTGATTCTGAAATTCAGTCATATTCATTTACAGAAATGAATTGATGAAGCGAGAATTAGATGTAGCTGGTACAGCACCATATATTGAACAGATGTATGCAGAAACTGGTAACAACATCCCTGGAATAATAAAACGCGTATTTGATCGCGTAGATGCATCTGGATTCGGCCTTCACAAACGAGCTTACGATTACGTAGATTCCCCTGGTCTTGATGTCAGCAAGCGAGCATTTGACAGGATAGAAGACAGTCCATTTGGAATGCAGAAAAAAGTAAATGATATGATGCCCCGCATAGAAAGTAATACATAAACTTATTTCCCAAATTTTTCCAATAAGTCAAAGATTTTTTAGTTTTCAACGTTATAGTACTTGCAATTAAACCAAACCAAATCCTATAATCGACCATGAATCAACGTTGCTCTTAGAAGGAGATTCAAAGAGAAGCAGTAATATACAATGGGTTTCAGATGACTTGAAGAATCGATCGCAAACTAACCAAAACAAAATCTCTGGCGGAAATGAACTTGCTATGCATGATACTGACGTAATCACGTGGAACCCTACTGCGGATTATGGACAATTTCCATTTGCCCCCAAAGCATTCACAAATCAGTAAATAAACTATGGAAAGTATTAACAAATCAATGTCTCTGTTAACTTTCACGCAGAAATGAGAACTAAGATACCACTCGAAAACCCACCAACTTTTGTCTTCATCGCTGTCTATTAAAATATTTAAAAATCACTACCTAATCATATATATTAATAAAGATTAATGTTATCGAACGACCTACATTGGCTAATGCTTGGTTTTGAGACTGAAGATGAGGTGCATAAAATTGTACAAAAACCAGTACAGCACATCACATATTAGCGAAGAGAGGCTACTCACTTGTACCACGATAAGAGCAATAGCAATAACACACTTGTATTGCAAAAGATTTATGCTTATATTACTTTTGATAGAATAGAATGACGCGACCAATGGAAGTATTGTTCACGGCAATATTTGTAGTACACACAGAAGTTATTAGATTGGTCTGCAGTTACTCTATACAAAACACATAATAGTAAAAGAAGTTAACATTGTAATGATTTCGAGAAATTTGAATATTCCTAAGCAAGCTTAATTCAGCACAAGCACACATTTCAATGAAATGCCACTCCATAGATTTTTCATAAATACTGAAATTTACTGTAAACTCATTTTGCACTAGCGACTACATAATAATTTCATTCGTTTCAATTCCCTTTTCCAAATTTGAAGTTACTTTAATTGATACCACCATGGACAACTACTACCTCAAACCGTTATGAAAATGATAACTTCAAAAGTAGAAAAAGAATTGCACGTATGGTAAATTTGTCTAAGTCTTGAAATGAGAAAACATCTATAATGAGAATGAGATTCCTGTTTCTGCTGCTCATCGTAAATATTCTACTGAAGATAAGGCAAATATGTCACTGGAATGAATTGTACAAAATGTATGAACTCTATTATCATATTACCAAACAATTTAAATGCGCTACTTACACCATAAAATTCTTAGAGATTTGTGCACTGAGCACTAAATAAACAGTGACATATTAATGAGTTTTAAACAAAAAGGTTGATATAAAACATAGAGTTGCATCTATAAAAAATTCAGTTCTAAGCATCACAAGTTCAGAAAATGGTCACAAATTTTACTAAAATGACTCAACTAATGACTACAAAGTAACATAGAGCAGTCTACGACAATAACATAATGAAAGCACATTACTCTCGTTTCATCTGCTGAGTTAAGCAATACCCGTACCAATCACAATAATTTAATAAAAATTCAAATACATTAGGATTACACACAAAGTGGAATGAAGGATGAGTTGTCCTATAATTTCGCAGCATAATGCTTCTAAATTTCACAATCTAAATAATTTGTTTGCTTTTAAAATTTAGAAAAAGTGAGTTAATTCGTAAATAATTACATTTTGTTTTTTTTCAAAATCTTGATTTTTTTTTTCGAAATTTCATTCCCAAATGACCAGAAATTACATGTCCTTTATTTTACACATATACATCACATGCGAAAATCAAATCTTATATCGTTAAGCTCAGATACTTTCACCTATCAATCTTTCTTCTTAACGATCAAATGAACTTCAATACTCAATAAAATAACACAGACATTACACTTGAACTTGCAGTAATACACTTATGATTCTAATATTAACCACTTTTTTTGCTCTAAGGTAAGTTTCTTGTCACCCAATGGTTCTCGAATACGTATCTGAAAGTTGTGCAAATAATTTTAGAAGTTTTTTCAATTTCAGTGCTTGAGAATTGAGAATTGAGTATGCATGCATCAAACTGAAAAGAAAAAAACATAACCATGTACAAAAGTTTTCCTCCCGTTTGCTTTCGGCCTTCCATTAAATCAATGCTTTTCTGAATACACGCCTTTTCTTCTAAAGCATTTAACTTACAATCGGCAGTAGCGATTAATTTATCACTCCGTAGAAATCCACCTTTATGATAGATCTAAATTTTTCTAAAATTGGAAACCAAACTTTTTAAAATAAATTAGGTTGTTCCGATTCTTTAAACAAGAAGCTTCTTTTCATCATAAAATAGATTTACTTCTATAAATCAGATGATAGGGAACTTTCGGGCAAAGAAATAAAAAAGCACATTTACAAGTACAAACTTCATTTGTATTGTATTTTAAATAATGCTAAGATAATACGATTTTCAAACCTCAAACTTTAAACAATTTCTTCTGACTACTCTTTGCAGTTGCTTCATTTTTCGATTGATTGTGAGCAAAAATTGTTGGTTATATTCTGAAAATATAAAAAGAGAGCTTCCAATTCCTTATTTTTCTTTCCATTTCATTGAATTAATTTTTTCCAAGATGTATTATTTTACTATTCCAAATGCAAATTTGAAAATGCTGATAGTATGTCAGCAAAGTATGTAAAATAATTACGATACCAAAACTTTGCCACTGATAACATAACTACAGAATAAAAGTTAAAAGATTTAATTATATATATATATATATTGATAGGAGCAAGTTTTTTAAAGTAATGTGAAACATTCCTTCCCAAAAAGTGATATTACACAGAGAATCATGAAACATTCAGACATATTTCGATACAATAAAAAGATTTAAAAAATTTTGCGTTTGAAATACTTTCAAAAGAAATTTTAGGAAAAATTTAAAAAATGAAGATCAAATCATTACTAAGGATTATGAATCAAGCTTTAGTGACAAAAAGCTTGGCAAGAAAATTTTCTATATAAAACAACCTGGTGAATTAGTAGCAGCCACAACTTTTGTTTTTCCAATTTGATGAGCATCATGAGGAAACGAAAAATTGTACTTCACAAATAAATAACCATCAGAAGGTTTCCATCCTAAATTGTTGTTTTAAAATTATAAACTTATATAAAGAAGTAGAGAGAATCTTGAATTTCGAAAATTAATGCAAAAAATTCATAGGAACCTGCCGGTAGTCGTGCATCTGTTACTCTCATTATAGTCAATTCCATAATATTTTCATCTATTTCCATGTGTACTTCAACTGAAGGTATGTCTCGTGTCTCGTAGCGAAACCTTAAAAAACATGTGCGAAAACAGTTTTCTACAACAATCATCTCTGCAGTGAGATTAAAAAACGACTACATCTTACTTTGGAATAACTGCACCTCTGTTCGCAAGTTCACGCAAAAGTATTAAATCTCTTTTTGACACAGTAGACCAGGCTTCGAACATTTTTACACGGGTAACATCACCCAACCTGAAAGCGAAAAAGAATTCGAATTTATTTTTGAATATGATTTGTTGTCAACCTTAGTTTTAAAGCACTGATTAGAAAAATAGAAGCTGAGATTTTTAACCGTGTAAAAATGAGCCTGTTTTCTTCACAAAATTTCACTTGACCAATAAGATCCTTTTCCATAATGGCAAATACTTCGGAAGGTGTACCTGAAGCAAAAAGAAATCCCGTAAGAAGATATATCAAAGGACTGATAAAGTTGATAGCGAAACTAGAAAAAAATCAGTTTACCTTTGATAGCAGCATCAAAACTTGTACCATGATTCAATGAAGGCTTTAGCATCTTAGCAGATGCTTGTGCTTGCGGTGGAACAGGCGTTTTTTCGATATTGACTGGTAGCCCATTCTTTGAAGCAATAATCATTTTATCGAATCCCTGAAAACATCGTCTAACAAGTAACTGAATATCCAGTATTTGAAATGTGTAACAAATAGCTATCAAATGTTATTAACTTCAAGAAAATGTAAAATCACCTTTGCTGCGAGCAAGAATTTTTTGGCAGAGATGACATCACCTTTTTTCTTAGCGACAATAGCAGCCTGCTTGAACTGCAGTTGACGCTTTAGCAAAAATTCAAGTTGCTGTTTTTGACGCCACTGCTTTCCAGATACAGATGGTTCGGATGCGGCTAATGGGCCTACTGAAGGAAGTGGTTTTCGTGATGACACTTTTTCTAATTCGTCTAAAACGTGCTTCAACATTACGGTATTAAAAGTAAATTATAAGATGCAGTAAAACAACTCAAAAAATAAATAAAATTACTCGTGGCAGTTGACATAGCGTTTCGTGATGAAGGAAGAGGTGGATATCCAGGAGGACATGGCAGCTCACTTACATCAATCGGTTTATTTAGTCGACATGCCTTGACTGCTTCTTCATATTGTTTTAAAATACGTGCATTCATTCTACAAGCCCATTAAAACTAATAACTTGAAAAGATAATAGCATAAAATCTTAAAAAATATTTTGAAGGAAAATGAAACAACCAACAAATAAATATACCTGTATTTTCGTTCATTATTCTGAGCTAGATTTTCATCACATAAAGTTTTGTATTTTCGCATACGTTGCTCCAACCCTTCCAATAAAGTTTTTGGAGGTGGAGGTATTAGTTCACACTGCAGTAGACAAAAATTTTCATTAATTAACGATTAAACTGATTTGAATTTCAAAGAGAGAAGTAGGAGACTTCAGAAAAAATATCTTATATTTTTTACAACAGGAAAATAGCAACTGAAATTTTACAGCAAGTTTATGAAAAGAACGATTTTTCTAATGACCAAAAAGTCACATTTTTTGTGAAGGTACCAACGCCAATTTTTGAAAATCCAAAGTTTAGGTTTACGTTTGAAGTATTAATTTTACAATCTGTAATTGAAGTTGTCTAATACTTCTGATGTCTCCTTCAAAAAGTAAAAAAAAGTTCGACTGTTTTAAAATCTAGTACAGTACCTTGAAAAGAAGAAGGATAGAAACAGAGTTCTAATTTTATTTTCAGAGTTTTAATTTTAAAAGCAAAAACTATCACGCAGTCAGCTTTAATATTCTATCAACCATGAAAAAATATTAGTAAGACTAGAGCATCTTTCAATTTTACTAATTAAGTGCAATATTACCTTGACTGGCTCGTAAGGAAGAGCTAGAGGCGGAAGTTCACTTTCTTGACATTCCGTAACCTGCCCATCATTTACTGCTTTTATTGCTTCGTCAAACTGCTTTGCTACTGTGTAATATTCAAAGGCTGTTTTTTTGTCACCCACTGCAATTAAAAGTTATATGAAGCTAAAAAAGATATGACTTAATGATTAGAGAATTGCTGAAAACCCGAAAACAAAATCATTCCAAAATAGACTAACAAGCACTGGCTTCCTTGGCGTTTTTGATGTATGATTCCCGCCGAATTCTTAACTCTGTTTTTAACAGCTCTCCTTTCAATAAACCCTTGACAGTTTTTTCAATGGCTGAACTGTTTTCTGGTTTAATGGTTTTTTCAGAAGCAATCTGCTTTGGTGCAACAGAATCTGATGGTATTACCTGCACTATCGCAAGAAATTATATAAACCTGCATTTTACGTCTGCACAGAGTTACAACTAAATGATGATAAAATTTACAACTTAAACGGTGATAGGTATATATATTGCATTTTTTTAGTTTCATGTGTTACTAAATGTAGCACTATATTTGCTATCAAACAGATTAACAAAAAAACTAAAATGGCTAATGTATCAATCAAATGTTGAAAAATACTAATTTAGAGTTTGTCATTTTTACCATGTTGACATTACATCGACAAACAATTAATAATTCAACAACTCACTTCCCGATTGGGAATTACTTGAGATGCTTCGGATTTTATAGGAGTTTCAACACAGGAAGCCGGTTTCAGTGCTACTGGAAAGTCATTTTCATCTACTGCCTTACCTTCTTGCACTTTTCGTATCAATTCATCAATTTTATCCAGTCCTCTCTGATACCTAAATAAAATGCTAATGTTAAAACGTGAGAAGTAACAATTTATACACTTTTTAAAAAGACTCATTAATTATACCTTCTGACACGTAATGAATAATTCTTCTGTTGAGCAGTTTTAAGCGCCTCACTATACTCTTGTTTTCTTTCTTGTAGTGTAGACAACATTGCTGTTTCAACAACACTAGTATGTGAAGATTTTGAAGGAATGGGTAGTTCAGCAGCTATAGGTTCTTGAGCAGAACCAGCTGTAGAAGTCAAATTTTCTTCTCTCACCAAATCATTTAGTTCTGCCTTAAACCATTAATTATCAGAAGCTCAATAAAAAAGTAAATTTATAAGACTAATTTTAGAATTCCATATAAAGCTTAATTATGGATAGGGACTTCAACTGAAACAGCCATGAAATTATTTGCTATATACCAATAATTCGGGATCATCTTCTAATACTGCCTTTTCATCACCAGAATCTTCATCTGATAAACTTGAAATACCATATACCCCATTTAATTGTCGAGAATCTTGTGAACCAGGTTCTTGCTTATCTAGAATCGTTTTCATCACTTTAACACTGAAGAATGTATTGGTAACTCTAAAACATTTTCTTCTGATGTACATAAGAGAATAGTTTAACACTCATAGACAGTCTCATATACTACAAACATTTTCTGACTACTACTGATAAAGAGTCTTCCTATCTAATCATTTTTGATGATCAGAGCAAATTAATGAATCAAGAAGAAATCAAAACTCTGATTTTAATACGAAAATGTTCACTTATCAAATTTTGTCTGTTACAGTAAATGTTATACCTGTTGAGATATTAGGCATACGTCCAGCAGCTCGTTCCTCTGCTTCCAAAGCTAGCAATTCTGCCATCAACTCATCATCATTTTCTACATCTCCATACATTGCCTTATCGATTGCTTGAAAATCCATTCAGACGACAACGAACAAATCTGAAACAAGCACGCCTGATGTAGAATGGACAGGCAATTGTCATATTTTTATGATTAATTATCTTACAAAAAATGTAGTTACTGTACTATTTAATTTTTTTTCATACCTACTAATAATATCCTACATCTCATCTACTGTATAGGACAGAATATATATATATAACCGTATATACGATCTCTTAATTTAATCCTGTCATATACATCAAGAACACTTTAAATCTTGCATAGATAATCCCGCATTTCTATGTCTAGCACAGCACGTGTTAAGTCTTACACGTCTTAATTCTTTACACATATTTAATCCCTCTCATGAATATCTTTTTCATAAAAAATTCCAAATGAGGAATGGATCAATATGCAATTCTTGAACCTCATTAATTGTCATTACAAAGACAATCAATCATACATGAGATGTGCAGCAGTACTCGAGGGGCTCGGGACTGGATACAAAGTTAAGCTAAGACTACATTTTAAAGTAGGACTCAACGGGTCAGATCCTAGTCGTGATGTCATTTCAAGATCATAACTCTGAATCACAGCTGACAATTGTGCTGTAAAGTTTGACTTCAGCTTCAGACCTTTGTTTCTCTTTTTCTTAGAAATAAGCAGTACTCTCTTGATATCATTTTAGAATGCTTAACAACCGATCTTCAAGTGTATATCAGTTACTCAAGTATATCAGTAATAAAAAAAACTTCTAAAAAGCTACTTTTTATTTTTGTAATACCGTTTACCTTGTCTCAAAATCACTATGACTGTTAGTTAACGAACAAAGCAATGAGTTATTTGACACGAAAGTTTTCTTTGAATAGTCCTTTCCAAATGTATTTTGAATTTTTAAATTGAGTCTTTTCGTCATTTAGATCAGACTCAGATATCTGGGTCTGATCTAGAGTCAAGGTTTAAAAGTGATTGTGATTGAAAGTTAAATCATTATTTGTCAGATATCTGAGTTTGATCTAAATGTGCGAAAAAATCAAATTTATAGGAGTTTTATTAAATTAACATCCCACTTATCCAAATTTAGAGAAGTTTTATTACATTAACATTTCTCATTACATATGGAGTGTACGCAAATTAATCAAGTTCAAAGTTCACGTTCTATAGAAATATGACGGATTGTAGTTAGCATCATTAGTTAGATTTCTATAAATTTGGATAAGTAGTTGAGTAGTTTTTAATTTATTTTGAATAAAAAAAGCCTTCGCAACATCATGATTATCACATAAAAATGTTATCTTGATCAACTGTTTGTTAAGAAAAGGGTCAAGGTTCAAAAGTGATTGAAGGTTAAATCATTATTTGTTTAAAAGGATACGTATCGAGGATAGAGAGCATGATCTGTTCACAATTTTATTTTTAACTCTCAAATAAAAGCAATTTTGGTAAATGTCCGATTAATTTCTTTGAATGTAGGTCTTTGCTTGGGTTCTTCCATCCAGCATTTCTTGATTAATTCGGCAATTCCTGGAGGTACATCGAGTGGTATTTCCATTCGATACATACTTCCATCTGTTAGTTTTGATCGTACTTGTGAGTTACTCAAACCTGTAAAGTAATTAACTGATACAAAACAAGTAGAAGTTAAATATTTCCAAAATTTGTTTAATTTTTAATTGTTTTAAAAGAATGAATTTTCAGGTCTTTTAACTTTTTACACTGATTGTAATTATATGCTTCCAAATACTATTATAGCTAACACTTATGTTATTGATTAGCGAAAGTGATTAACTAGGATATGGCTCGGAACCATCGGTGAAAATCTCAAAAAGTAATACACCAAATGCCCAAACATCGCTTTTGTTTGTAAAATGCATTTGTTTAATCACTTCTGGTGATAACCATTTCGTTGGTAGTTGAAGTACAGCATTTTTCAATTCTCGTTCCTTCACTGATAATCCAAAATCGCATATTTTCAACTTAATTAGTCAATCAATAATTACCGTGAAATTTTAGACCGCTTTTACAAAAATATCAGATTAATGATAATTTTTTAAGTTCTTCAATAAAAATATGAAAAATTTTTTTGTATTAAAAGTATAAAATGTGAACAAAATTCATTTCCTTCTGTAGATTCAAAAATACTCAAAAATAGATTTAAAATTCTAATTTCTGTCAAATTTCATGCAAAAATAAATTTAAAACAAAACAAAAACAGTATTAAGTTTCAATTTAATATTTTAGTATTTAAAAAAGTTTTTTGAATTAAAAATTTGATTACCGTGAGCAAAAAGTTAGCAGAGTAGTGGATTAAGTATAATTTTCAGTAGTTGTTACTTACCAGTTAATTATTTCAGTTACCATTTGAAAGGATTTTATTTAAATAATGTAAATTAATAAACCGTTAGATTTTCTTCCGTAAGAAGACAGTTTCTAGCGGCTACATCTCGATGGATACAGTGTTTTTCTTCGAGATATTTAAGACCTGCTGATGCTTCTTTACTGAAGCGATATCTCGTCGCAATTCCAAGATGTGCTCCTTTTTTGCGTAAATACTGCAAAAGTCTTCATAAAATTATCAATACACTACACGTATTTTATATGCAAAAAGTATTACACACATTATAAACTTTATTATTTTAATAGTAAATAAAACTGATTTTATGAAGACTTTTGATAATGATAATTTATGGATAATGATAATTCATTAATAATGATAATTTATTAATAATGATAATTTACAGCAATAAATACACCTTTAACAATGATCCACCACCACAAAACTCTGCAATAATCATTAATGGTTCTTTCTGACATGCAATACCAATAAATTGTACCAAATTTTCATGATTATACTCTCTCATAACTTTGGCTTCCTAAAACTTGTGTAATTCAGAAAAATTTCTTTATTTTTATTTCAACTTTTTTTACGTAACAAATAATTAAGCAATGATTACTTTACTTTATTTATTTATTTTTGTCTGAATTATATAAGTAATTCGCGCAGAAGTTTTTATGAACAAATTTTAAAAGCAATCTCATCTACTACATCAGCTTTTCAATAAATAAAAAAGCATCCTAAATTTGACTGCTTCTGAATTTTATTCTTTTCGTTTGTTTATACTTTTGCAATTTACAAAACAAGTTATGCATACAATAATAATACATCATGCTAATTTAATATCAAATAAATATAATTTTGGTTGATTTATAATTTACAAAAGTAATTACTATTAATACATTTCGAGTATGATTTTTATTGTTTTTTTTTGTAATAATTTTTATAATTTAGTAAAGTAATTTTTTTGTTTGAAAAAAATACTTGAAGAAAAGAAGCTCGTTTATCTTTATCTTTCGCTTGTCCAACACACGTCTTTGCAGCGACCGTTTGGAAAGTATGACCAACTTGTAGGATAGCCTTGTAAACGCGACCGTAAGCTCCCTTACCAAGTTCTTCTTTTAATCTTACTCGATCATGAGAGATCACCCATGCCTGTAGGATCAATGCTAAATTAATCCTAAAAATGATCGTAATAATAATTGGCAAATTAACTCATACACAAAAGCTTTAAGTTAATTATTTTCTACTGGCTAATATTTATTTATTTAATCTATCAATGCTTGCTTTAAAATTAATGCTATTAAAAAGTACTAAAATCAAGCATTTACTTTTTCTCAAAATGAAATTTTAGTAGTTTTAATAACTAACTTTATTATTAAAATGTTCATTGTTGTATTTTATTTTGACAAGTTTTGAGGTTAATAATATTAATAATAAATGACAGTCAAATAAGCAGTTTTATCATAAACTTTATGCACATTTCCTGTAGTAATTTAATTATATTATAATGCATAATAGTGCAAAATTACTATTATATTTATATTTTTGTAATTCATTTTTGTTAAAATAAGCAAATATATTCTTTGACAGTTCATATTTAATCTTTGTTTTAATAAAAAAAATTAATTAATAAAAAAAATACAAAAGAGTTTAGCAATCAGTAAATACAAAACAATTTAAGTAGACAAGTTATTGAAATTTATAATAATAATTTAATATAATCATAAATAAATATACTTTATAAAAAAATAAACTTTTGAAGTAAAATATGCAAATAGCTGACTGGATGTGGTACAGGTCGTTTTACCACAATAGGCAGTTTTTCATGTAATGGTTTACGTGTTCGGACGTAATGTGAAACCATTTCAGTGATTTTCTTGAAGCATTTTTCATTCACAAAATAAAGACTACTATCTGTTATACCAATGTTAAATGCCCACAACTCACGATTATATCGTACCACCCACACAATTGACTGCAATATTATTTGAACATTTTATAAAGTCAGCAAAAAGCTAAATAAAAATAAAACTCAATAAAAGTATTAATAATTATGCAAATAAAAACTTGCCTCTTTTTCGTCTTCTTCCGGAATTGCAAAGAGAAAGTCACCGTCTCGAATTAGCATTTTCTCCATAGCTGCGCGCTCCATAATTCCATGATAATATGTTTCTGATAAAAGATTATCATCAGCTTGTGCCAATACTTTTCTGCAAGAACAAAATCATGATAATATGTTATTATAATAAGTATTTTAATTTGTTATTATAATAGATTAGTTATTAATACTTAGTATATATTCATGTAGTTATTAATACTTACTGTGATATGTTGTTATAATAAGTATTAATAACCTTATGAATACTGTAACTGAATAAACGTATTACTATATATGTTATGAGTAAAAAAAATATTTACTCCTGCTACAATTATTAGTGTATGAATTAGATAATATTAACAATTTTAGATTAATTCGAAAAAAAACGAATTACATATTTTATAATGTGTTTGAAATTGCATTTAAATCAGTCGAAATTGAAAGTAAAAGCATTTTTAATATTAATTATGCAGGAATTTCGATCTGATTATTAAGACCAAAACTACGGAAGGAATATTTTTTCCAAATCCATATATGAAAGCTAGAAAGCTAGTTAATAAGACAGACTAATATTCATTTAATAATCACATTAATCGTGCAGATATTAACTTATCATTGTGATTAATGAAATAATATGTGTACGTTTATGAGAACTATTATTAATTACAAGCTGATTAAGTAATCAAAAATATTAAAGATTTATCTTATAATTTTGACACTAATCTGACCCTTCAAATGGCCCTAAAGGTTTCTGTTTCTCCAATGGAGGCAACCGACCGCGTCTATCAACTTCAATACTTCTCAATAACTAAAAACACTTTACTACATTTTATTTACCATACTTCTCAATAATTATTTTTTTAGGAGAATAAAAATAAAAAAAAATTATATTTGTAATACAATTATTAACAAAATCTTCAAGTACCACTCAATACATTTTGCAACAAATCTTTTTTAATTAATTTAGACTTTTTTTTCACAATTTTTTAAAATTATTAATGAAAAGCTGTTCAAGCATTTTTTTGAAGTATTTTTCTTTTATAAGAAAAAGAGCTTATTAATGAGAAGAATATTAATGAGCTCATTAAAGCTTATTAATGAGAAGAATTATTAATGAGCTCATTAAAGCTTATTAATGAGAATCATTATTAATTATTAATGGGAAGCTGCTCAAGCATTTTTTCTTTTATTTGTAATTTTGGAACAATTTAGCTATTAACTATTGATATTTGTGAGAAATTTGATTATAATACAAAAGTGTAATTAATAACTTCATAAAACGTTTGATAACGTTATGTGAAACCACCGATTAGCATCACTGTTAAGATAAATTATTTATCACTAAATATTTTGTATTTTCATCGAATTGACTTGTTACACAAAATATAAATATGAGTTAAGGAATTACTTAAGCTTATGCAAATTAGCAAGAAATAACAACAATATATACACTGGAAACAACTGGAGAACTTGTGATTCTGGAAAGCATTTTAGCAATGCCAGCACCTCACCTACCTCCGCGCATATAAAAAATAACAATCAGTTCATACTTAAATTGTAGATTACTTTATACGTTGGAAAAATTGGCTTGAATTATGTAAATTTTTATTAAGCAAAAAAAATGCCATCAAGAGAGAAAAAAATTATTTAAGAAAAGCTATTTAATATTTATTTGAGAGCAGAATGCAACATTTGCAAAATATTAACTTTGAAAGGAACGCGCCAATTACTTAGTATACTTCCAATTAATCTAATCTGTAGCGATTTTGACTCAGTTCGTATGAGCACACTAAAACTTCATCTGCAGTACAGAATATAAGCATTATGAATGATTATTTTTTAGGTTCAAAATGAACGGATGGCTTTGGTTTTTCGTGCAATTCAGTGCTTTAATTTGCATGGTTAGCATGCTTGATCTTCATTTATCTCATGCTGATCACACTCATCAGATAACAAATCTGAATTGATAGTGTGATTATGACTGATTAACAGCGAAATAATGATAATAATAATAATAATAATAATGACTATTATAGCAAATAATGATAATGAAGAAGAATAGTTTTTAATTGTGTTGCTCGATTTTGTAAATATTACTAACAAATAATTTAATGTTATTATTTACTTCTTTATAATTTTGCTTTAATTTTTTTTAAAAAAGCACAAGCTTTGTATAATAAGTGCAATTAAATAAATTGTTCAATAATACGAGAAGAAAAATTACTCAATTATTATTCATGAATTTTTGAATAAACAGACATGAACAAGTAATTCAGTTCAGTAAGAAAAACTATGTAAGACTTTTAGAATGTCAAGTAACAGTGCTACAGTGATCAATTCAGTACTGAGAAAAATTGTGCTTGTTTAAAGTGTTTTAAAAAAAGTTTCAAAGTCTGAGAATAAATAATTTAGAAATTTGCATACTTTTGTAAAATAGTACTTCACTGCCGTAAAGAATCTATTATCACGTTATTGAGAATGACAGTACACATAACAAAAACGTGAGTATTAAACGACTGAAAATTTGTAGGTCACTTGGATAAGAGAAATCGAAGCAATAAGATGCTTATCGAATCAATTTAACGACACAAGAGAAGAAAATTGCGGTCCAGATGGATTCTGCTTTATTATGCGGGATTCCAAATCAAATGTTAAGGGTAATTTTGTACTACGAGGTTGTGATCACGCTTTTTTCTGTGAGGTATCTATCATTATTCAATTATTTTATTGTAACTAGCCACTTTGAAGGAAAAATAAAATTCCTCTAATTTGTAAAATAAACTTTAATAATTTATTCATAGGAATATGACAATCACAAGTTAATAATAATTATTAATCAATTAACAGGGTAATTATTATACTTTTTATTCCTATTAGTTGCAAAAAAAAGCACAAATAATTAGGATGCAAAAATCAAAGATGCATTAATAATAATGGTTCAAAAACCTACTATCGTACCCTGAGTTTTTAGAGGTTTGACAAAGTTAGGTTGCTAATACTATATTTTTTACCTGGCGTAGATTTGTGTATATTTTGCAGTTAGTGAAGGCAACAGAAGATGTGTACTATCCTGATGGAGCCAATAATTCTCATTTTTGCATTGACAAAGCAAATTACCTCAATTATTTCGGTAATTTCTGCTGCTGCAACCATGAAAATTGGTGTAATAGTTACTCCGCAGGTTAGAATTATTACTCATCGTACTCATTATCATTCATAGTGTTTTTATTTGGTTTTCTCAAATTTGCTTCACATTATTTTTAAAATTTATTTTTCGTCATTGCACCTGATAAACTGTGATAACAGTACTGATAGTACTCTGTTCTTATCCATAACTGAGTTCAAAATACATCTGATAAAAGCATCAAATTAAAGCATTGAATGCCACTTAGTAAATACCATTATCTCGAAAGTTTTCAATAAAGTTATTACATAATATAAAAAATACTACCACATTGGCAGATTACCCAAATGCTAATTAACCATGCTGAAGCTTAGCACTAATTTAAGCAGTGAGGTATTGCAGCAGAAACACCAAGCCATGAAATGATGCTAGCAGAATTAATCAGAGCTATGCCAACCCACCAAAAGTGGCTGGAATTAAAGAAAATTGCAAACGAATATGAGTATAGAAATAAACGAAACGCAGCCACAGACAGATAGATGAGAAGTACCAATCGAACTGGTGCCAAGACAGATTATATTGGCTTTCTAAAATTTTTCAAAAAGATCCTAAATTATCAAGTTCCTTCTGAAAAATGACACAAGGATTGCTTCCCATCCAAATCTCAGACATTGTCTATCACACTTTTTTCACTATGTCAATAAGTGCATAAGACATTTCTTTATATCATAAAAAGCTTTAAGAAAGTAAGGTCATAACATGGATAATGATCTAACAAGCAATAATTCCATGTGACGAATCGTAGACATCGAATGCTTAAATTCAAGTTGTAATAAACGCTAAAAAAACAGGCACACAAATGAGTACATTTCCTTAAGCAAAATATCAAGTTGGCAAGTAGTGAATAACAATCGCTGCAAGCATTACTTCTCAATCTGCTGTTCACTCAAATCAATAATGAAGTTAAGCACGGTATGGATAGAACCAGGAGAAATACAGAAAGACTTACTCATTAGGATATAATTCTTGAAACAACTTGAAACTACCTTATAATTAATACTTGACAGACACTCTAAATAAAGCAATGTTGTAACATGAAAAAACTATGGAATTGCTAGGATAATCAATTCCTATTATCGTTCACGTTCTCACACAGACTGCTGTCCAGACACGTGAATTTAAGACTTTACAAAAAATTTGAAAAAAGTGACTCATATATAATAAATTAAAATAACTTATAAACCAGTGGTTTATATATTCAGCTAACAGCAAATATCCTTTTATAAAAAAAAAACAACCCTACTTTAGTTATTTCATGGAACTTAGTGTCCATAATCACCATAAAAAGCAAGTATTTCGTTAAAATCATAACAACTATGCATAACAAACAAAATAAACACTTGTACGATAAACAACAATGATCAATATTTCTTAATATAACAACATCTGAGGATTAAGTACAGGCGCAATCAAAGCAGACCACTTCTGCGAGGAAAATTATAAAATGACGCAGTGATGAGTAGAATAACAGACTGAAGAAATCAATAACAATCTAAAACAGAACAATTAAAGATTTAATAATTATTAAGCTTGAATCAATAACGAAAATATATAGAACTACATTACGATAAAAAACATACAATACAAAAGCATAAAACTTTGATATCAGTAAGTAATAAAAAACAAATATTAGATAATAGGTTTTTTCGTTATGACTAGTAAGGACGAGCAAATTGACTACATGCTTATAATTCTTATTCTAACTGACGATCATTTCACAAAAATGATTTCTAGAAACTCATGAAAATGATAAGTACAACATATAACTTACTCATTCCTTAATTCATTTCAATACAGACCACTACGTTCTTTTTCTTTTTAACAATTTTGTAATCCACTCAAGTATCAAATTATATAGTTCTGTTTCTTTCTTGAATATTAGTTAGACCAGACAGAAAGCCAAAGTACTGTTCAAGGAATAATAGTTATATTTTACATTGTAATTAACATTATTAACAAGATATATCTTTATGAAAATGTAAAGCAACAAACCAAAACTTTATTCAATCCATTTTGCATCGAAAAAGTTTGGCGTAGTTTCTTATCTACTTCACCGATGTCAAAAATTTGCTTAAAGAAAAAATGACTGAAATAAAAGCACACAATACTGCATGCTCGAATTGCGAAAGGAACCAGAAATTATTTACGACATACAGAGAAAAAAGCAAAAGTAAAAAATAAAATAAAATCAGACCGCGAATATCGAAAATAAACGGATTCTACATGAGACTAGGTTGAACAAGTAAAAATGTCAATCCTATACGTGATTATAATATCAAGTAACAATCGCTCACTGCGAAACATAGTAATGCGTTACTCCATTCGCACCTTTAATAGATGAAACCCTGAAAATTTGAATAGAGGATAAATTAACTACTGTTTGAAGTTACAACTACAACTTATGACTACATAAATGCTACAGTAATTTTAGATAACAAAATTTGAAGTACATTCCTTCGTAGCGATGAAGTCTGTTTACTATGAAATATAATCAATTAACTTGAAACAAACTTCGTAGTAACATCTTCCGAGGGTGCATGTGTGTAATGAACAGCTACCGTATGGATAATTTCTTCACAGTTTCTTGATACAAAAAATTTTGAACCAGACAGTGATGACTGTCTACTATTAGCTACAAAGGGAACGAACGCGGCGCTTGATGTTTGGTTAGGAGTAGCGTGATCACTTCCCGATTTTGCATTATTTTCTGGAGAAGAAGGCATGAATGAAACAGCAATAGATGGCATGGTCTTCGATTTTATTGCACTATCTCTACTTGATGAGAAGTCCGATTTGTCACGCATAGTAGTAGAAAAGCATGAACGGAGTGAGCGCAAATGTCCCGGTTGAGAGCATCTGTGAAAACATTTAACATGAAATAATTTTTGTTGAAGTCTATAAGATCATACAGTATGCATCATGTTAGAAAAAATAAAGCTCCGATAAAAATCCAGAATAATGTGGAACAAAATATGCCAGACTATTTTTAGGTGCTATACCAATCATATTAATTTTATAAATGAAAACGTAAGAAAGTTACCCAAAAGAAGCCATCAACTGTTTTTGATACTCAAAACAATCGTTGCATAAGAAGTTTGTTGACTGAGAAGCACTCTGTAACCATAAAATTACTGATGAGCAGAAAATTTTATTTATTGAATTCTTTAACAGAAAGCATTTGAAAAATCTAAGATTTTAAAGCTTCTTAACCTACTAAAATACTGAGTACAGCTCATTATTGCAAAATACTTATCTATCAATTAAAAGTGAAATTATTTTTACAAAAAAAAAGTAGTCGAAAAGCCAATTCAAAAAAAGGGTCGTTAATGTTGCAATAAACGATAAAATATCAAAAAATATAACATGTTCTACAATTCAAATTCGATTATTTAAAAGCATCATTCCTAAGAAAACAAAAAAAATGTACCTTTTGGCAGTGTTTATTAATGCACAAAACTTGCAACGATGAAGTACTAAATGAACGTGACATTCTCGCACGCTCTCGAGTAATTGCTTCTGGAGCCTTAAAGTTTTAGTTTTTGGAAGATCAAGAGCTAATTTTTCTGATGAAAATATTTTTAAAACTACATCAAATATTAGTTGAAAAATGTCAGCACACTGTTTAATCAAATGGCAATAAAAATGAAAACAATAATAAAAGACACATATAATGAACAACAAATGAACAAAATACTGGCTAGCACGAAAATTGCCAACTAACATTTTTTGACTGTTCAAAACGCTCCTTTGCCAAGCATAAATAATTATCGACCATATGCTCCATATATTGATGAGCGTGACAATGCAAACGGGCAGCCACAACAAAATTCGAACAGCGTAAATCAAATACAGTCACTTCTTTTTCGACACTATTCAACTGGTTCTATAATGTAATTAATATTTACAAAAAAAGCGCTTCCAAATTAAGAATTACAACTTTCGTAGATTCAATCGCCAAAATGAAAAATTCTACACCATACAAACTGTATAATTTAGCTAAGCATATTTAAAATACAAAATGAAATTGATCGAGACTTCATTACCAAAATAAACTAATCTCCGGTTTTAATTTAACAGAAAAAAATTTCCTAACCTTTTTTTTACGCCCTAATTTTAATCGCTTTTTGATTTGTTGCATTATTTCGATTAGCAATCTTGAAGAATGATCTTTACTAACAAAAACATCACCGCACGATAGTGTCATAGACTTTCTTCCTTCCTCACCACATAACATTTTACTTCCATTTAAATTATGCCGAAATGAGCACCGACGCACCTATATAAAAAGTTTCAATAAAGCAAGAAAGAACATCAGAACTTGTATGAACTTTTGTACGAAAAGTTTAGAAATCTAAAACATGAACGGCTGAAAACGGCATACTATAAAATCACATTCTCAAGACAATTACCTGAACCTTCATAATATCCATATATTCACAAATTAATGCAAGCTTGTCAGCCTCGGATAATTCAATGCGTGCTGCGATTTCAGCATCTTCTGCATCATTCCACCTATATTATAGAGAGTGCTATCAGTTCTGGCAAGAATTAATGGAGAAATGAACTGACGACGACTTATTTACGTTCTTAAAAACTATCTAACTCAAATGCAGATCGTAAAAATGAGGAAATATTGACAAACCACGTAAAATCTGGTCCAGGATCCACAGAAAAATGCAAGGGTAGTAAAAAACGATTCTTATCCGTAATCGGAATGATAGCTGAAAAAAGGCAAAAGACTTGGGAGATAAAAAACAGCTTACATGGATTACTTAATTCATGTTTTAAAAGTAGAAATGTTTCGATGAGCTTTTTTAACAAAGATTGAAACTTGAATGAGAATAAATTTTATTTTTGATTTAATAAATATTAAGCATATTCATAAGCAAAATAGCGTGCATTAACAATAAATTATTTTCTAGTTCAAGAAAAATATTTAGCGAAAACC